TTTGCATTTCTATCCTCTGCTCTCCAAGTGCTGTCACTGTCATTGCCAGTGACAGCACCTGGCAATGGGATTAATTGCTTATCTCGAGTATGAGGTAGCAGTGTGGGCTGCTAATTACATTTATCAGGAAGGAAATGGTAGGACCTCTGCAGTACGTGGAGGAAGGCTGTCCCAGGAAGGATGAGTGTCGAGAGCTGGCACCTAGAGGCTCAGGATCCTGTCTTTTTCAGAGCTAGCAGCCAATGCAAGGGGGTAGGTGTTGCTGCCTGCCTCCTGCTCTGCAAGGCAGAATTGAATCCTCTTCCCTATGGCAGTAAGATTTCCAGGAAAAAACATAGGTAGATCCAAAGGCAACATTGCTCTTTTGGTTTGTTTAGAGGCCATCATTTCGTTAAAGTGACAAAAACCTGGAGCAAGTTGCCCAGGTAGGTGTCCAGATTGGCCTTGAATATCTCTGGAGAAGGAGACCCCACAGCCTCCCTGGGCAGCCTGTCCCAGTGCTCCATCACCCTCACCGTGAAGAAATTATTTCGCATGTTGGTGCGGAACTGCCTGAGCTCCATTTTGTGGCCATGGCCCTTTGTCCTGTCCTCACAGCCCACTGAAAAGAGGTTGGCCAAATCCCTCTGTCTCCCCCCCCTCAGGTATTTATACACATTGCTGAGATCCCCCCTCAGCCTTCTCTTCTCCAGGCTGAACAGCCCCAGGTCTCTCAGCCTCTCCTCACAGGGGAGATGCTCCAGGCCCTGTATCATCTCTGTGGCCCTTTGCTGGCCTCTTTCCAGGAGATCCCAGTCTGTTTTGTGCCGGGGAGCCCAGAACTGGGCACAGTGCTCCAGGAGAGGCCTGGCCAGGGCAGTAGACCAGGCAGAGCCCTGCCTATCCTCCGCCCCCAGCCCTGGATGGGGATGAGAGGCAGCTGGGAGATAAGGCTGGGGATTTAAGACTCCTCAGATCCTAGCTGACAGAGCCCGGGCTGCTGCTTTCCATCAGCTGTTAAAAAAGCCTTGCTTGAGTGGAAGAAGGCTGCCAGGAGAAAAAAGGCCAGGCAAAGAGAGCTGAGGAAGGCCACTCCTCAGAACCATTAGCATGGATTTAAGGTGCCATTTTAGAAACTTCTATTATAAGAGAGGCGTGCTCGTGCTGAGCCATTTGCAGAAGTGGTCTATGCAATGCTACGATGGACTCTAAAGTCCAGGGCAGTTTTCATGCAGAGGCACCTATGTGGAGCCTGTTCAGTGCACACTGAATTAGTTAAAAAAGAGGTTAGAGAGAGGCAGTGGGACTCGGGGCCTGCAGACAGGGATCCTCTCTGTGGCCTGACCTGCACACTAGTCTGAAGGCTTTTTCTTCTACACTGGCTGGGTAGGAAATGAGAACACCGGGCACTGCAAAGGTCTTTGTGCTCTTAAGAGAGCTGCAGCCCCTGTTCTTAGCAAACCTGCTGCTGTCTCATAGCCATACTCCAGAGAGGCAAACATCCATGCCGGTGTGCAGCAGACAGGCAATTAAAAGTCCATATATTTGCCATGAACCCCTATTATCAGACCTCCGGTTGGTGCTAGAGGTGGAGGAGCTCACCACGTGGTAAACTGCAAAGCTCTCCTGATTCAGTGATGGGCACTGTCAAGCTAATAGCACTCCTGGGATAAAGGATGTTCTGATAAATAAAGCAGTTCTGCCATAGGAATCTCTATGCTTTTCACAGTTTCTGCTCCTCTCTCCAAGCAGGAGTTTCTAGAGAGGCTCTGCCCCCAGCTCCCATTGCAAGCAGAAGGGAAAGCAGCAAATTCCACAGCTTCTGTCACTACCCAGGGCAGAAAATGGGTGTCCTGACGTCTTCCGACAAGTTAGGAGAACATCCGTTCTGTCCTAGTGGAATTCATTTTAGCCCTGTGTGAAGACTTGTGTTTGGATTTGCTATTTACTTTGGAAACAGGGAATTGGGTGGATTCCAAATTAAAAGCTGTTTTCTCACTCAGGAAGACCTGGAGGGAACAAAACAGTTTTGAACAAAATAATTAAATTACTTTTGGAAGGTGTCATTACTTGGCCAAAAAAAAAAAAAAAAAAAAAAGAAACTTTGCATCAAATTTCAGTGATTTCGCTGTCTTTCAGCACGATTGCAGAACGTTTCAAACAAACCATACCAAAATGCTCTCATTTTGCAGGATTATTATGTCCCAGGTATGTAGGGAACACTTCCTGGAGAGGAAGATAGGTGCCAAAAGCAGTAGCCGTGTTTTTAGGGCACATGAAAGGAATTTTAGCAGCCCACCTTGGTATGTTCTGTTGAACAATTGTTCACTCCCTGAGTTTTGCCCCACTCCGGGAGCAGCACGTGCAGAAGTGCTGATGGCAGCTGGTGGGGAGAAGTGAGGCACTCGCTTAGACCATGCAGTGTGCAGCCAGCCCTGCTGGGACCCCCAGCCTTTCACCCTATGCCAGTCCAAACCTTGGGAATGCTTTTACCTTTGTCCCTTGGGTCACTTAATCACAGCAGTGTAGGTGTCATTTTGAGGTATCCCTATCCTGATACAAAAGAAGTTGTACAGAAAAGTTGTTATTTTTAAAATAAGCCTTGGGAAGGTGAAAGAGGCCTGTGTCTCAAAACTTCTTTGGTCAAATGACCCTATAATTCACCCTGAATGTCAGGCTGGAGTAATTATATGTGTTGTTTTTATCATGTTTCAAAAATTGGTATTAGTACAGGGGCCATGTTATCATTTCAGCCGCAGAGCCACCATCACTTCTCTGTAACAGAGAACTGGCACGTGCAGTCCAAATGGTCTGGTCTTGTTCAACATCTTCATCAATGACCTTGATGAGGGAATAGTGTCTGCCCTCAGCAAGTACGCCAATGACACAAAGCTGGGAGCAGTGGCTGACACACCAGAAGGCTGTGCTGCCATTCAGTGAGACCTGGACAGGCTGGAGAGCTGGGCAGGAAGAAACCAAATGAGGTTTTGCAAGAGCAAGTGTAGAGTCCTGCACCTGGGAAGAAACAACCGCATGTGTCAGTCCAGGCTGGAAAAAGTACTTCTCTGTACTAACTCTTACTTACAGAAACCCCAAGTATATGTTTTTCCCAGGCTGTTTTTCTGATCTACCTCATTCCTGACAAACTTGGCAGTGAATTGAAGTAGAAGTTGGTTTAACTTGTTTCAGTGCAGAAGCCACCTGCCACCCCCCAGGCTCTTCGTTCTGCACAAGGAATTAGCAGTGGCAGAAAGCTGCAACCAAGAGTAATCACCGAGAGCCATGATGATGAATAGGTACAGCCAAGCTTTTGCATTGGCATTGGTGATCTTTTGAGTTGGAAAGGATCTTCTGGTGGTCTTTGCAGTGATATTTTTAGCCATATGTACTGTATCTGTTAATACTGTATTTCACATTATGGTCCAGCCTTCACCAGCCATCTGTTGCAGGACCACACACTCCCTGAGCCACCCTCATCCGTCATGCCTTGCTCAACACAATTTTTGGGGGCTGTTGCTAATGGTGCATCTTCTTCAACAGTGGGTGGCTTAGAGGTCAGAGCCCCAGCAAGGCTAGACCCCATCATGCTGCTGCTTGGGTGGCTGAGCCCTCTAAGCAGTGTGATGGCATGATTAGCAATGGCATTGCTAATTGCAAAAACAAGAGGAAAATAATGAAGAGCAGAAATGGTGGGCACTAGCATGAATGTAAAATTCTTCGGAAGAGTGGAAGAGTCAGCACTGCTTTGTACAGGTCAGTTCTGCCTCCCCTAAAAGGAGGACACCACCCTTTCCCCACCCAAAGGCTTTAGTAGAAAATGAGCAGCCAGGATCCCACGCTGAGAGTGAAGATGCTCTTGTGGCTGAAAGGACTGGTTGAGAAATGGTAGCAGAGGGTAGGAGTAAGTGGCCAGTTCTGGCAGCAGAGGGAGGTCTCTGGTCTGTTCTGCAAGGTTTGTTCTGAGATTCATCCTCCTGAGTGTATGTGCAGAAGTGACTAAACCAAAAGTAAACAGACAAGGACTGACTGTGGAGAGCTGCAAAAGTTGCATGCCATTATGAGATGGCATGACTGGGGAACGAGAGAACAATTGTCATCCAATTCATGTGAAGTAACATCAATGGGAGAAAACTACTCCAACTATACATACACACACTGTGACAGGTTGTGAGCTGATCTCTAAGAAATAAGACCTTGGGACTATGACGAGTAGTCTGGGTGGTACACTGGTGGTTAAAAAACAATTTGGTCTTTGCTAATTTTGAGAAAAGAGAAGAGAATAAAATAGTGATTATCATGCTTCTAGCACTGGACATGACAGAGGTTTGTACAATCCTAAGGGGAGGAGGTGGATGACCACTGAGTGTGCATTGCCAATGCCAGTGTGAGTTTACATCAAACTACTCGGCAGCTTTGAAGCAGAGGACAGCAGTTCTTCACAGCACGTTACTCCACGGAGCTCCTTGCTTCTACATGTAATGGGTGCAAAAAAAAATAAAATTACATGGAATAAAAAAGTAACTGGGTAACTTAGTGAAAGAATGCAAAGAGCCTGCCTCTTAGGATGTCCCTGAACTATGACCTGTTGGCAGGTGGGAAGGTATTCTGGGCAATGCATGTGCCCAGCCTGTGCCATCCTCTTTGGGAGGCTGCTGTTGCAGGGAGGACTGTGGTGGCTGAGACACCACTCTGAATATCCTACGAGACTGTGGATTAAAATCCCCTTTGTAGTGCTGAGACTCATTGAGAAGACCCCATTCTGTGCTTGCGGTTGGGAACGCAGTGGGAGGGACATCTGCATGGGAACCCCATCTCTGTAGGCGGTACGAGCAGCAGTGCCTGCCTTTTCAGGGCCTTTGGACCAGCTGCTCTTTCTCCAGTTTGTTTATTTCAACTAGTCAGGTTTTGGCTTTGGACACTGCAAAGCCCCAGGGGTATTTTCTGGCAGTGTTGCCAAGCTCTGGGCATCCCCATCAGCCCTCCTTCCTTGCTGCTCACTGTTGCTCTTGGTTTCCTTCCAGGCTGCCCATCAGGGACTTTCAAGGCCAGCCAAGGGGATGAAGGATGCATCCACTGCCCGATTAACAGCCGGACAACTTCGGAAGGGGCCACCAACTGCGTTTGCCGAAATGGATATTACCGGGCAGATGCTGACCCTGTCGACATGCCCTGCACCAGTATGTGGGCTCTGGGCAACTGGGGAGGGTGGCACACAGCTGGGAAAGGAGACATCAGTCAAAGCACGAAGGTCTCTGTCTCAGTGGGATTTTGGAGGAGATTTCCAGCCGGCCACTGTCTGAAAGGCCAGGGTGCTCAGAGCCCCTCCTCTGGAGTGCCCTTGCACTTACCACTTTTCTTACCACGGGCCAGTTCGTGCTTGTGAACATTGCACACGCATACAGAACAGAAATTTGGGCTGCCCTGTGCTGCTCTAGTCTGTGGGATGTCTTCAGTGTAGGGCTGCACCTGAATGCAAAGACCTGTGTGTAGGCACTCAGGAGTTCAGTGCAAAGGCTCGAAGCCAGAAACTACAAAAAATAACTGGTGAATTTTGTCACGGGCACTGTGCGGTCATACCAGCAGGGGCTGGCCTGGGTTAAGTAGGCAGGTTTTGTTCCCACTCCTGCTTTTGGCTGTTCAGCTTGCTGCACACACCTCTGACACTGAGAGAAGCAGCAAGCTGCCTCTTGTCTGGGTCTGGGGAAGAGGAGGTGGTGCAGGACAGACTGCGATGGCACAGGTCCTGTAGCAACGAGCAGGGCTCCGGCTCTCACACCTCTTTCTGTCTGTTCCCTTCACAGCCATCCCGTCTGCCCCCCAGGCCGTGATCTCCAGCGTGAACGAAACCTCGCTGATGCTGGAGTGGACCCCGCCGCGGGACTCGGGGGGCCGGGAGGACCTGGTGTACAACATCATCTGCAAGAGCTGCGGCGCCGGCCGCGGGGCGTGCACGCGCTGCGGGGACAACGTGCAGTTCGCCCCGCGCCAGCTGGGCTTGACGGAGCCTCGCATCTACATCAGCGACCTGCTGGCCCACACGCAGTACACCTTCGAGATCCAGGCGGTGAACGGCGTCACCGACCAGAGCCCCTTCTCCCCGCAGTTTGCGTCCGTGAACATCACCACCAACCAGGCTGGTAAGAAGCAAACCGCTGTCACCCAGCGGGACCCTCCAGGCTGAGACCCTGGGGAAGGGAAGTGGGAGGCGGAGGATGATCCCCCCTGGGTAAGAGGTGCTGGGTGAAAGCCTGTGTGGTGAGCAGGACTTGATGGGGAGGGAAGATGTGGCATGGTGTCTCTTGCTCTTTAAAAAATGATGATAAAAGAACACGGGCAGATGCAGTGGCCTGGCAAATCCTGGATGAATCCCAAGTCTCAGATAAGAAAAATACCCCTTATTTCAGTGAAAAGCTGGAATGTGCTCCACGGCAGAGCTGCCATCCCAGCTACCACAGCAGACCACCTCATGTCGCAGTCCTCTGGTGTCTCAGCATTTCCCTCTGGCATCGGACACGTAACTGCTTCCGAGGTGGTTTCTTTGGTGCCAGCAGGTGCACACACCGTAGGTGCCTTTAATCCTGGCTGCTGGCAGCCCTGCAGACACAGCAGCAGCTTTCACAGCTCCTGGCAGGCCCTGTTGGTGCTCCTGCTTCCCGAGGAGAGAAGGTAAGATCAGCTCCAGCGTTTTGACACAAGCTGCAATCTCTGCTGAGAAAGCACAGCCCATGGCCCAAATGCCAGCACAGGTCCCGAAAGCAGAGGGAGGCTGTAGAGATGAGGAGCTGGGAGCCAGGTGTACAGGATAACTGCCTGGAAAGCTTCTCCCAGGTCCTGTGCTGCTGCAAGCCACCCGCCAGTGCTCACAGGCCCCTCTCCACTGCTCGTGGTGAAGAAGACCAAGTGGCAGAGCTGGAGGGGTTTCACTCAGGGCCACCAGCTTCTGTGCTGGCCCAGGAGGCTGCTCTCCCCTGGTTTTGCTCTGGAAGAGGTGCATCTGGGTTGCTGGCAGTGCGGCATCCTAGGAGAGCCACAGGTGGCAGCTGTGCTGATGGCAGAGCGCCCCACAAGGCTGCTGATCTGGGGCTGCTCTCCCCATCCCTCCTGGAAGCCATCTGGAGCTGGAGCACCTCTTGGGGCTGGGTCCGTGCTTAATCCTATTGCACAGTGGAAGTGCACCAATATGGTGCGAGCGTGTGAGGGAACAAGCAAGTTTCTGTGTCCTGTCTGAATGCTGCAGTCTGTGTGCAGGGACTGTGACCGTGCCCCAGGCTGCCCTGGGCACTGCATCACCTTCAAGACTGTTTGGGCTGATGTAGAGCAGCAGTGGTACAGGTGGGCATCTCTCGGTTGGGCATGCGGAGTGCTGAGCCAGAGAAACCAATTTTCAATATGGAATATTCAGAACACCTGAAAGCAGAATTAGCACGGCTCCAAACCAGGAACACAAACGCTCGTGACACGGAGAGAGGAGCTGGTCTGGGACAGTGACTTATCACAGCATCCTTCTCAGAGCGGGCTGTGCCTGCTGGAGATGGGGTGGGACGCAATGTGAAGTGGCTAGGAGGGGTCTCTGCACAGACCCACCCCGCCGAGGAGTTATTTAGCACTTGCATTTCACACTTTGCAATTATGTGGTGTACTTGTTACCTCAATGTATGTACAGCCTGTGACTTCTTCCAAATTGGCACAACTGAGAGTTGAGTTGAAGGCAAATCCTCCTGCAATCCCCTGATCCTTGATCCTCCTCCTCGTGTTTTTCTTGTTTGATTCTCCTTTATTATCAGGACTCACACTTCTCAGCCTGTGTGATGTCTCTTTTAATATATCTATTCATTAGCACTAAACAGTAACTGCTTGCTAATTCCTCTGTAATTAGAGGCTCTGAATTCTTCAGCTTACACTGCCTGGCAGCCTCCATGTAGATCATTAGCAGTTGGTAACATAAGCTGCAGACACAAAGGCAGAGCTGGGACAGGAGAATGGAGGGTGTTGTACCCGTGAGAGGAGGGTTTGCAGAGGGAGGGGAGGGATGAGCCTGGGAACTGGGGCTCTTTGCACCGGGAGGCTCTGGCTTGGGCAGCCAGCTAGGGCAGGGGACTGAGCAGGTGATAGGGTTTTGCTCCTGTGGCAGCCAGGTGATGCCCACCACCATCACAAGAAGCGATTTGGGGTGGGGTGGCTGTGCATGGACAGCACGTGTCAAGCCGGCAACTGCACGTGAGTGAGAAGGTTGTATATTGAAAGCTGGCCTTAGAAAATATCAACATGCACGGTTGTGTATTGAAAGCTGGCCTTAGAAGGCAAAGCAAAACCACCCTGGTTCACCCAGGGATAAATGGGTGACTGCTGGGGGACAGGTGCAGTACCTGGGTTTGGTGCTTTTGGGTGTGAGCAGAGATGACATAGCAGCAGCAGCATCTTTAACCTTCAGATACCATAAATTCTTCAGCATCCCAGGGAAAAGCTGACGTGGTGGGAAAACAACCCCTGTAGAATGGCCAGGGCACAAACACTGAGTGGGACTGGAGGAGTGAAGCTGGTGGATGTGATGGCGTGGTGACAGCTGACCCTAAAGAGAAACTTAAGATCAAAGAAGGTGACACACCATTCACCTTCCTGTTCTCCCAGAGAGAGACAGCAGCAATCATCGCTGTTATTTCGCTCCCCAATGATTAATTGCTGCCATCATTTAAAACATGCACTTTGTTTCTGCTCTGGATTTCACTGACTCTACATCAACCGAACTTATTTTGCAGTTGTCTCGTAGGACATTTCTCTTCCTGCAGACACAGACTGCGAGTAGCTTCTCCCAAGGAAAAATAAGCAATGATACCAAGATCAATCATCCTGTCTTACTATGAGGTGGCTTTCCAGAATGTGACTTTTCCTTTAGCTCTTTGTGGACACTTTCATATTCTCAATCATACATTTTTTTAAATTTCATATTGTACCTAGTAGCAGCACTACTACAAATAATCTACTTCCCTTTCTCCACTCACTGTTTGCTTTCCACGTTCAAGGACTGTGCTGTCTCACTCAGCTGTGTGATGAGCTCCTACCTCCCTGGTAGTCTCTCTGACAACATCTTGGTCCCTTCAGATGCTGCTTCCTCGGATAAAACACCCCATTCTGCAAGCAGCATCTATATTTGGGTTTCCAGACCCAAACATCACCTTATAATGGTTTTCTTGGGCTCAGCCATCAAGTTATGACTCTGTAGAGAAGCTGTCCCCAGTGCTGGCATTTTGAACCCTTTATGAGTAGTTTGCAAGTGAAGTTTTCACATTGTCCCCTAGATCTCTGACAGTTTAATGGAGAGTGCTGCCTGCACTCTGCTGGACACAGTGTGAGACCCCACAGAGTGACAGTCTTCCTACAATAACCTCAATTTCATGTGTTGTAAGTGATGCTGATGCTGAACCTAGTGTCTCACATGTTTTAATTCTACCTAATCTGCTGAACTCCTGAGTTCATGAAAAAAATCAGGACAGTGTGACAAGAGTCATGCTTCAACAAAGTCATGCTGCTGTTCCTGATTTGGTCCATAGCCCAGCAAGGCTTGTGGAAGGGACATCTGAAATCTCGTGATTTACCGTCCTATTTGCAGCAGGATTATCACCAACAGCAGATTGGTTTTCTTCACCCTCCTAGCACAGATGCTTTTCATAATTTCTACCCTGTCTCTGTGGCTCATGCCCCTTGTTGCATCCTCTATCCCTACTGAGGAGAGTTGATTCCGCCCTTTTTTAGCTGCTCTCTAAGCAGTTGTAACCGAGATTAAATTCACCCTTACCGTCTTCATTAGCTGGGGTTTGTAAGCCCTCTGCTCCAGGCTGCTGACTGCCTTGGTCACACTTTGCTGGATCCTCTGCAGTTCCTCCTGGTCCGTGGCCTTGTGTCCCATGTTGGCTGGTGTTGATATTGTGTTAGCTGACCTGAGATTACCCAGGTTTGCCCTTTAATTAGCATTATTGTCTTTTCAGTCCCATCAGCAAAGCGGCAGAGCAGAGGGGAGCCTTGAGGGTGAAGCCACCTCTTCTTAGGAGAAGGTTGGTCGAAAGAGAGCATGTGAGAAGGCCAACATCAGCCTGTGCTGGGAGGTGGCTCTACTGCATCTTTCTCTTGCATGAGTGGCTTAAAAAGATCAAAGGTATTTAACCTGCAGAAAGGCAGGTTTTGTTAGAACAGAAAGTATAATACTTCCCTTTTTAAAATGTAGAAAATTATGAAGGGACAAAATCAGCACAAGAGAAATAAAGAGGGCTTGGAAGAAATGTTCCCTTTCCACCACTCCTTGCTCCCTGGTCTGTGTTGCCCAGCTCAGTGGATTTACCCATTCCAGCAAACTCTGCGTGATCCCCATATTCTGTCCCCTTTGAGGCCAGGTTGTGTTTTCTCTTTGCTCTTCTCAGCAAGCTTCTTCAGGACCCCTAAGCTCCACGCTGCATTTTTGCCACAGACTGCTCCATTTCCCTGCCTGTTGCACCCTGCGGCCAGGTGGTACCTCGCCCACAAAGCCCAGCAGCTCTCCAAGGAGGGAGGTCCAGGACTTTCCATCTGGCACATCCACTCCTGTCCTAAAGGACCATGATGTGCAAAAGAAAACAAACACACCGTGTTTCAGATACATGGTGCCACAAAAAATCCGTTTTCTCAGTCATTCCAGAGCAAGAGATCTGTGCCAAGAGGGTGGCTGAGAGGAGAGCTGAGAGCCATGCCAGCATCCTCGTAGCGAAGGAGCAGGAGGGAAGCCAGGGGTCAAGGAGCTGAGCATGGCCCAGTGCTTGGGATAATGACACTTGACTAATTGAGGACCATGCTGTGTGTCAACCCTCTCACTTGTGGTAACACACAGCCTCTGCTTGCTAATTTGTGGCTATTCTTTGGGGAGGTCTTAGGCGGGGGAAAATCTTGGTGCTGGGAGGATTTCGGTATCCATTCATGCTGTGGACAAGCTGAGTGCCCTGGGAAACTCACAGAGGGAAAGGGCTCCTTGGGCAGGGATGTCTTAAGCACATGGAAAGGGCTGCTCTCAGTATCAGGCTGTGGCTTGTGCTTGTTGAGAAGGGAGGAGAAAGCGCTGATCTCCAGATCATACAGACAAATTCAAGACCTCCCAGTGCTTGGGGGAACAAGA